GAGAGCAAAAATGTATACAATCATCTCTGCCCAAGGTTCAAAAGCTCTTCTTCCAATTACAGGTTACAAAAATCTTCATCTTGGTCTGAAATTAGCAGTTGCCTTAAAGGCTACAACTCTGTGTTTTACCAGTCCCTGCTCCCAGGAGACCAAAACTGATGAAACAGCAAAAACCATGTAAATTGGCAGTATGAGGAATCTGTCTTAAGTCATTGCCTGACTGGCATTTGTACCTGAACAGCCACTGACACCAGCCCTGATATCTTTGCTAGTAATGAGTTTCAGATTTTTGTTCCAAGTTTTATACACTGCAATTTAAGTGGGAGAAGATTTTTTTTTCCCCCAGAAATGGAAATCTCCCTCCCACAAGAAAGTGATGATGCTTTTGAAGGCATTGGCTAGCTGAAGACAAGGTAGATTGGCTTTACTGGCTGTATGTGGCTCCATATGTACTGCACACATTGCGTGGTGCCTTGAGAAATGGGTTTGTTCATTCAAAACTGGGTGACTCAAAGAGATTCTTTTAATAGTTCAAATCTGAATCTGCAGTGGATCAACGATGGCTGAAATACTTCAAGTCTAGGGTTGTGCAATGGCCTCATGTGAAACAAGCACATTTTCAATTCACTTCCCTATGTGAACATATGACAAACCCAGCAGAACTTGAACCTGTAGGGACTGCTGGCACTGCAGATAGATGAGTACATGAGATTTTTGTGGGCTCCTTATTTAGCTGGAAAGGTCTCATGCTCTCAGATACTGCCCTAACATCTTTCATCAACTGGCTAGAAACTTTTGGATTAAATGAGTGCAGTCAGGGAGATGCTAAACTGCAGTGGAAATCTGACTCCATCCCCCCAAAAGCAATGTTTGGTTTGGAAACCAGGACGAGAGAATGGAGTTATAAACAGAGTTGGCTGGGAATTTTTCAACAAAATAGGTCTTTCATCTGACATGGCTGATTTATTGAAACCAAAAGTGTTTGTGGAAATACGAGGGGTCCAGGCTGACTCTGCCTGACTCGGGCAACTGCTCTAAGCTTCTGCTTCCTCTCCCTCTCTTTTGCCCAATTAGTATTTAATAACTAATATAAAATGAAATAGCTCCAACAAGAGAAAGATTCTCTCCACCCCTAGAACAACCAACTGTTCTGCTGTTAGGGTGTGTCTGTGATACTTCAGAGGTGAAAGATTAAGTGTCTCCTTCAAATCAGGCAGAACAGGGGGCTTTACACTAAATCTCCCATTTCTGGGAGGTAAATCCGTTGCTAGGTATTTTGGGATACTGTCACTTTCTGGATTTTACCAAAGAAAGTTCAAAAGTCCTATTTTTGTTCCATCCTAAAACATAAAATGTTATAAAACATCAAAACTTTGCAAAACGGAAATCTTATTTTCTGGCCAGTCCTAGTTACAAAGTTCTTAGTTTTGTTTTTTTTTTTCAATTACATCCAAAAGACAATCAAGTCAATATGATTTCCATTTCAACTTTGTAAATAAGAAAATAGGATTCCTCAGGGTCTTGGTTTGGCAAGGTTTAAAGGACTTAGGGAAGTTTTTGCTTTCAGTATTGGGCTCCATTTCCTATTATTGTATAACTTTAACGAAAACCGTTCTATTTAAACGGAATTAGGCTACCTATTTTCCTTGTTTCACATCTACCAAAATAATCTGCATTGATGTTGAAAGGCAAGTCTCTCTTGAAATGCAAATTTCCCTCATAAACAACAAAATCATCTTCCTAACTTTTGTGAGCAAGGGACACTCAGAAGCACTGAGTTACTTCAAAGGAAGCTGGGCATAAGTAACTTACCTGACCTGTTTCTTCAAACCTCTTTCTATCTGCACTGTCAATGACATAGATCTGAAAAAGAAATGAGAGGAAAAGTTACTCTTCCCAGAAGACACTCTTCCACAGTATCAGGTGCTTAAGTGAACTGAGCCTAATAATTATGCTTTTGGGCACAAGGATCCCCGGTATTATTTATAGTGAATGTTGACAAAACTTCATGACGTTCTGAAAGGAGAGGAACCACCTCTTTTAAAGCTGGGGGGCTGGACAGCCACGTGAGTAGTGCCAGAAAGGAGCTGGGGGCAGTACCAGGGACGCTCTCACCATCTCCACAGCATTTATTACCTAAAGAGAACAGGAGACTGCCAGGTATCTTTTCAAATGACCCACTTACAAGCTGAAGCTGAGCACAGGAGGGCAAAACCTGGGGAGCTAGACACGATCTTTCACCTGAGCAAACAGTGTACAAGCACTGCACTGGTGTGACTATGCCATGCTGCCCTCTAGCAGGACACAACACCTCCTCAATAAGCCACCAAGGCACATAATGGCACTCAGGGGACAGACGAATATATTGGTGACATTGAGTTCCTCTCCATCAGGCGATCCTACTGCAACTTCCTGGAGCAGGTGATTGGGGAGGAGGGCTGGATCCAGCCTGCGAGACCCCATCTTCAGCTGCCAGCTTGTCCACTAGGACGATGGAGAAGACAGGGAACAGCTAGCTCACAAAGCCTGACAGCAGAGTCCTGCCATCCTCTCAGGGCTGGGCACCACATCTCATGGTTCACAAGGAGGTCCCAGCTAGACACTTGTCCCCTGCTATGGAGAAGGGTGGATCCCCTGGCCCGCAGGCTCAATGCCTCAGGAGAGGGCCTCCACCCTTTCCAAGCAGCATGGCACGTGCTGATTTCTTTCTGTAACTGCAAATGAGCCTTTGCAGTGAAGGCAAGCTCTAAGTCTGCACAGGCTATGAGGCTCCTCAAAGGTCCCCCTAAATAGGTAATGATTAAGTCCAGCCAGCCTCCTTTCCCCTAGGAATGCTACTGCAGTTTAGAGAGCACAGGTATCAAGCTACATCTAAATAAATGGGGAACCTCAGTATAACACTCAGGCCAAAACAGCCTGGCATTCATAGAATGGCACAGGCTGGAAGGGACCTTAGAGATCATCTAATTCCTTTTTCATTACTTGGTATGGGAAGGTTTTTGAAGGAGAACGGTGCTGGGACAGCAGACAGGGACAGGACTGGTGACAAACACTGAGCATTTTGCTTCCAGTACCTGCCATTCCCCATCAGCAGTGATTGAAGCTGCTAGCATGTCATCTGCATGCTCTTTGGTGGCTTACAGGGAGCATGTGTCAGCCTGGTTTTCAGGGAATAGATGAGCACAGCACCCCACCATCAAGATAAATGGCATCCTTGCAGGCAGTCTCAGCAAAAGACTCCACGCTTCCAGGATACTTTCGACCAAATACTAGGGGGAGGGAAGATCTCTAGCAGCAATAGCTATTAAACTGTAGGCACTCTCTTAATGAACAGTGTTAGAGTTGTTTGAAATGGGACCAAACACGCAGCAGGAGAATCTGTAAGCCAGGCCCGAGGAGGTGACCCAGCAACCTCGCAGACCACTCTGCTGATCACTTGGGGTCCGTGGTCCTCCCAAGGCCGGGCTGATGCACACTGACAGAGGCTGGGGACACACAGCAGGGCTGGAGGCAGCTGCGTGGGCACGCATCAGCTGTGCACGCACTTGGTGCCACGTGATGGGGAAAGGCCTGTGGGGACGGCGTGACACACCGCCTCTCCCTGCAGCGTGATCTCAGGCACGTGCACCAATACTGTATCGGCTACACCCGTCCTCTCTGCCACTCCCAGGCATTCACTCCTGTGAATCTGGGGAAGAAACACAGAACAAAAGAAAGGAAGAAGCTGCAGGGCTGGCATTTGTGCTCTGGGGTGAAACTGGACTGTCATCTGCCCCACTTCAGGACATCTCAAGAGAAGCTTAGCAACACATGAACGCCATAGTCGAGTGCTACTTCTCAACTGAAAGGCGGCACCTTCCAGGTTACAGAGCTTCTCTAACCGGCAAGGAAGAGCTCTGAGTCCCAACCAGCCAGGCTTTCTCCTGCACCACTCTGTTCCTTGCTAGGGAGCTATTTTGCAAGATGAGAATTGGAGACAACAGTACTCAGGGCTAAAGCCACAAAAGCACAGCACAGAGAAGGTAAAGTATGTGTGGAGTGCCTGCTTCCAAACCAGAAAGCACTGTGCCAAATAGCTGCAGGTGCCTGTCTGAATATGCAATCAGCCAGATATCCACACCTTATTTGCCTGGGTTAAGCTTCCAAATACCACAGGTGTGTGATGCAAGACCAAGCTCTCATTCAAAGGCACCTGCGTGGATTTGAATTTGCAATCACTTCCTGCTTTTTAAAACCCTTTAGAGGGTCCTTTCTCCTTTGAGCAACATAGTTTAGGAGAAGACAGAAGCAGGGAGTCCTGGGAACTGTAGCATATCTCATCTCCACCTTGCATTTATGGCCAGGGCCACACAAGAGCCCGTTGCTGGCTGTGGTGCTCTGTAGCACAGTTTGCCAGTTTGAACAGCCATTGAGTACACCATGTTGGAGAAATGGAGCTTCAGAAAGAAATTCCCGTAAATTCGGATGCCTTCACTGAGCAACAGGCCAACACAAAACCTGAGGTAGGTGAGCTGGACAGAAATTGCAAGTGGTGGGACTAGATGAAGAGATAACATGAGGGATAAGTTGGCTCAATTCATGGAAGCAAAATGGGATCAGGTTTGTCGGGGGTAAAATTACTGGCTAAAATGAGGGTGAGGGCTGGCAGAAGAGAGAGAGCAAGAGAGTCCTCACCATATACTTGATCCCAGTTTTGGTGTCTATGGACATAGCAAAGCACTGCACTAACATGCTGACTGCTCCCAGTCTGGGACCAGTTGTCAGCACGGAGTGGAGGCAGGGCAGCTCAGGTCCGTGTGCACACCAGTTCTTCCCTCTGAATTCACACCATCACTTCTCCTGAACTGATTCTGCTTCTATCTACCCATTTTCTTATATGAAAAGAAGGGGTTTCTCTGTAAATTGCTTTAACTGGAGTGGGAGGAGGGCAGGGAAAACAACTGCTTTCATCTCCTTCAGTCTTCAAATTCCCTATTTTTTTTCCTGCACGTTCCATGCAGCACATGCTGTGAAGTGGGAAAGCTCACAGGCTGGTGTAGCTCATCGCCAGCAGAGTCTTCCAGATACCGTTCTGTGGTTGTACAGTCTCTGCAGCCTGGGCACCTGCTGTAGCAGGCAAAGATCCCCTAGCTGCTGCTTTGCGGTGTTGCCTTTGATCTGCACATCTACTGCAGATCATACAGCTGCAAAGCTTGGACTCAGCAGGCACAACCACCTCAGAGCCATGCTGTGTCCCCCTTCCTGATGGCCACAGAGCAGCACGCAGAGTGTGTCCTGATAGTTTCTCAAACTAGGTCTTTTCCCTAGGAAGATGTCACCATTACTCTTTGCAAAAGCAACAAACTGGGTTTATGCTGTGGTGGCTGACCTCAAACATCAGATTCCAAATTAAGGCTGAAAAACAGGGATCTGCAAAAGAGATTACTGAGGGTTTACCAGCCCCATTTAAATAACAGTTTCATTTGACTTTTTTGCCTCAGTCTTCACTGGCAAGTGCTCCAGCTGCACCACCCAAGTTGCAGAAGGCAAAGGCAGTGACTGGGAGAATGAAGAACCACCCACTGTAGGAGGATCATAGAATGGTTTGGATTGGAAGGGACCTTCAAGATCATCAAGTTTCAACCCCCCCTGCCATGGGTAGGGACACCTCGCACTAGACGAGGTTGCTTAAAGCCTCATCCACCCTGACCTTGAACACCTCCAGGGATGGGGCATCTGCAGCTCCTCTGGGCAATCTATTCCAGTGCCTCACCACCACATTGTAAAAAATTTCTTCCAGGTTAGAGACCATCTAAGGAACCTGAAGGTACACAAGTCCATGGGATCTGATTAGATGATTAGATGCATCCATAGGTCCTGAGGAAACTGGCAAGTGAAGTTACTAAGCCACTATCCATGATATTGGAGAAGTAACGGCAGTCCAGTGAAGTTCCCACCGACTGGAAAAGGGGAAACATAGCCTTAATTTTTAAAAGGGAAAAAAGGAAGACCCAGGGATCTACAGGTAGTCGGCCTCACCTCTGTGCCTGGCAAGATCATGGAGCAGATCCTCCTGGCAACTATGCTAAGGCACATGGAAAATAAGGAGGTGATTGCTGGCAGCCAGCATGGCTTCACTAGGGGCAGATCGTGCCTGACAAATTTGGTGGCCTCCTACGACAGGGTTACAGTGTTGGTGGTTAAGGGAAAAGCAACTGACCTCATCTATCTGGACTTGTGCAAAGCATTTGACACTGTCCCGCACGACATCCTTGTCTCTAAATTGGAGAGACATGGATTTGATGGATGGATTGCTCGGTGGATAAGGAATTGGCTGGATGGTCGCACCCAAAGAGTTGCGGTCAATGGCTCAATGTCCAAGTGGAGGCCAGTGATGAGTGGTGTTCCTCAGGGGTCAGTATTGGGACCGACACTGTTTAACATCTTTCTTGGTGACATGGACAGTGGAATTGAGTGCACCCTCAGCAAGTTTGCTGACGACACCAAACTACGTGGAGCGGTCAACATGCTGGAGGGAAAAGATGCCATCCAGAGGGACCTTGACAGGCTTGAGAGGTGGGCCCGTGCAAACCTCACAAAGTTCAACAAGGGCAAGTGCAAGGTCCTGCACGTGGGTCGGGGCAATCCCAAGCACAAGTACAGGCTGGGCGGAGAATGGATTGAGAGCAGCCCGTAGGAAAACGACTTGGGAGTGCTGGTGGATGAGAAGCTCAACATGAGCCGGTAATGTGCCCTGGCAGCCCAGAAAGCCAACCACAACCTGGGCTGCATCAAAAGGAGCATGGCCAGCAGGTCAAGGGAGGTGATTCTCTCCCTCTACTCTGCTCTCGTGAGACCCCACTTGCAGTACTGCATTCAGCTCTGGAGTCCCCAGCATAAGAAGGACATGCAGCTGCCGGAGCGAGTCCAGAGGAGGGCCACAAAGACGATCTGACAGCTGGAGCACCTCTTCTATGCAGACAGGCTGAAGAGAGCTGGGGTTGTTCAGCCTGGAGAAGAGAAGGTTCTGAGGAGATCTTATAGCAGCCTTCCAGTACTTAAAGGGTGCCTACAGGAAAGCTGGAGCAGGACTTTTTACAAGGGTATGTAGTGATAAGACAAAGGGCAATGGCTTTAAACGGAAAGAGGGGAGATTTAGATTAGATCTCAGAAAGAAATTTTTTACAATGATGGTGGTGAAGCACTAGAACAGGTTGCCCAGAGGAGTTTTGGATGCCCCATCCCTGGAAGTGTTCAAGGCCAGGCTGGATGAGGTTTTGAACAACCTGGTCTAGTGGAAGGTGTCCCTGCCCATGGCAGGGAGGTTGGAGCTTGATGATCTTGAAGGTCTCTTCCAACCCAAACCATTCTATGATTCTATGACAATGTTTTCTAAACCTTCAGCACAGCTGGGCCCTTCAGGACTCTGAATGAGCCTTGGAGTAGAGAGCCTTATTCCCAGCTGCACTGATTCTTCTGTGGAAATGCACTGAAGCTCCTGACAAATTAGTGAGTATGTGTGTGTGACAGGAGGGAGGAAGGGCGTCTTTCCAATAGAGCTTCCCATTTTCCCATGAGAGCCCTGCAGACCTTGCTTAGAATAGCCTTTTCTCTGTTCCCACAGGCAACAATTGGTTGGGTGGGGAGAGGCCTAGAGCCCCCAACTTGACTTCATCCTGGCACACGCGGCTGCATGTTAGAGGTGATCTTTGAAATTAATCAGGACAGCACTTGGAGGGTGCCAGGATAACGTGCTCTGGCATGGAAACACAAAGGTTCTGCAGTGTAAATATAATTGTAGTCATCTGTAGTTAACTGTAAGGTAATTACAGCTAAGTTGTCAAAAACATTAAAGGACATTCTTATTATTAAAGGAGTGAAAGAAAAGACAAGGAGTCTGTGTCCTTCAGCCAGAAGCTTTCCTATCTAATGCCAGACATAGCATTTAATTCTGCTGTGCCTCAGTTTCCCCAACTAGAAAACAAAGGCCCCATACTGACCTACCTCTACACATGAGACTTAAGTCACTAATGCCCATGACAGGCCTTCAGAGTCTCCAGTGAAAGGAGCTATAGATGGGTAAACTACAAGTTACTAATGTTCTTTCATTTGAAGGAGACTGAGATGAGAGGAAAGGAACTGGCTATAACCAGCACCATCCTGTGAAAGTAAAAACATACAACTGAATTATTTCTCCAAACATCACTGTATTTTTCTTACTGCACCCGACCAATCTTGCCATTTCACTCAGAATAACTCCTGCTACAATGGCAATGGTGTTGCTGAGGACTGGGACATTACATTACTTGTTCCTGAATTTCTGGCTGGAACCTTGGAAAGCCATTGCATGAACACAGCATTCAACTGCAGCCAATACTCACAAGGATATCAGTGTTTTCAAAATAGTTCCTCCAGTATGGCCTGATCTTCCTCTGTCCGCCTATGTCCCATACATTCAGCTTGAAGCCTTGAGACTGTACACTTTTGATGTTAAAGCCCTGGAAAGAGGGGAAACAAAGCCACATAAAGCATAAACCTGAATGGCTGGAGCACTTTCATAAGCAGACATTAACACCTTATATATCCCATGCCTGCAATGTGCAGTGAGATGGGCTGGGCAGCCACAAAGATGGATCGGCTGTGGGGGAGGGCTGGCGGAAGGGAGGAGAGGGCTGGCGAAAGTGAACACAGCTGCCAAACCATTAGTTTGTCAGTGTTCTTGGGTCAAGGCTGTCATGGCTACAGAAACACATGATGCAGTTAGTGCCCTGGGAGAGCTCAGCAGGGTGGGTGCAGGAAGAGGTGGGAGAGCTGCAGATAAGGAGAAAACAAGGGTTCTGTGAGAAGCAGGACTGAGCTTGTGAAAGCCGAGTAGAGAGACCCAGCTAACACCAAGCCAGAGGTCTCAGCTCAATTCAACCCGACACAGCTAATGCCGAGCTTAAAAGAGCAACAGCTGCACGTCTGAAGGGTCTATTTCATCAATTAGAGCACCAATTGAAAGGGCATTCAAGTAGAAAAACAGGATGTGGTGTGGGCTGGCAACGTGCTGCCATATCACCCAGGGGACTGGGGCTTGGAATCGGGGTGTCAGGGCTGGGAGCTTTGGGAGGCAGCTACAGGGTGGGGGGAAGCATCTCCCATAGCTCTCTAGCAACCTCCTCTGGTCAACATAGGAGCGATGCTGCAGTGCTTCTGATGAGAGACATCCTCTCCTCAACCCCCGAGGCTCAAAGGGGAACAGAGGCATCAAAGAAGGAGTGCTGGAATATGCAGGAGCTGGCTGGGTGAAAGATGCAAGGAGATAGGGGCTTGCCCAATGCTGCAGCATCCCCTGGACACGTTCCCTGTTTGGCAAGGACAACAGGAATAAAGTCTCATCCATGCAAGCCTAGCATGACCCAAAAGCCTTCTGCAGAACTCCATGGCACTCATCCACTTTTGCACTACCTGACACATCTGGCCTGATGCTCTATGGCTCCTTCAGGGAGCCTCCTCTTATGCAGAAAACACACAAACTTAAATGGTGCACCAGGCTCCAGGTGCTCCCCCTTTTACTGAAATACTCTGCTGAATTATTAGTGCTTTGTATAATAACGCAGGTGGGACCACAAGAACTGCCTTGGGCAAGGAAAGGCCTTCCTCACCTGTGTTGGTGTGATGTGGCTGATGTCCTCAGATGCCAGCTGTTTCAGGAGTGTGGTCTTGCCTGCATTATCCAGTCCCAAGAGGAGGATTCTCACCTCCTGGTCTGGGGCACTTTTCAGTTTACGCAGGATTGACAGTAAACCCTAAATGCACAAGAGAGATGGTAGCTGTTATTTCCCCTCTTGACTCTCTCCCCCCACAATGCCATGCCCTCCTCCCTTGAAATGGGTGCTGTATGACAGTGGATCTCAGGGCACCTTGAACCCCCTTCCTGCAGTCCCTATTCCCATTTCCTCTTCTACTCCTCCCCCTCACCCACTCTCAGAGAGCATCAACAAGGTCTCAGACAGCACAAATGTCACTCAGTGGGGTGCACCACACTGTCTGCATCGCTCTTGTCACACAACCGTTTGGCATTCCCTGTGCCAGGAAGACAGTGCCTACGGATATCACACGTAGGAGCTGCAAACCAAGTCCTTGCAAGCTCTTCATTATCTTTATCAGAGGGAAAACCCCATTAATTTAATCTCCTTTCTAGTTAACTGTAGGTTACTGTGTACCTGACATCAGTTCTTTTCATAGTAACTCCCTGATCATCTCAAACCCCGTTTATCTGTCTAAAACATGCTGGACCCATGGGGCACATGCAGTTCTGATTCTCGGGGAGTAGCACTTAACAACTATCTCAGATCACCACACATCTTTGCTAAGAAAAGCACAGTGGATTTCAGTCATTAGCCAGGCTCAGCTCTCTGAGCTGACAGTATCACTCAGGATTAGGAAACAGAATATGCAGGTCAGCTCATTTACAACCACGCACGTTACAGCAGCACACACAAGCTTTTGTCGGTGCCATCGTTCGGAGACCTGACCTCTCTAAAACAGCTGGAAAAATATTCTGGATCCTGGCATGAAACTGAGACACGCGAATCACCCCGCTTCCATCTGCCTCTCACTGCCCAGCCTGGCCCCACAGGAGAGGGGCAGTTGCAGCCAAGGGCACAGAAGCAGGCTGTGAGTCCACCTGCAGCCTGGGTGTCCTTGGACATGTTGCTGCACTGCTCTGCATTCCCCTGCTCAGGAGGGATTGCTCCTCGGAGCCTGAGCAATGCACACTACGCCAAGACCCAGCCTGGGGACACAGATGCTCTTGCAACTAATTTGCCTGAGCAAATCTGGAAGAGGAATACACCTACAACCCAATCTGGAGCCCTCGGGACTCCTGCTCGGTCTCTCCCAGACAATTCCCATGTCCTGAAGGGCAATGGCAAGGCGTTTCTCTTCAGCCCACTAAGATCCAGAGCTGGAAACAAAGTTCAAATATCAGCACAAACCTGGGCCCACAGGGGCCCATCTCTCAAGCTTTTTTGTTCTCTTATTTGCAAAACGGAGACAATGCTCCTTGTCGACCTGCAAGAGTGAATCAGTTAAATGTCATGAAGTGCTTTGTTGCTATGAGGAACTACACCCTCTAAATATTCCTGCTTTTGAGCCGTGAAGGTTGCTTCCGATCCCCTCCAGATCACAGCAATCAGAAACCTGTCCTCAAGATAAAGAGCTGTGGGATGCAGTACAACTGTCACTGCTGCAGCACGTCCCCCGTCTATAGCAGTGCCCTTCTGTCAACTCCTGGAGAGACCCAACTCGGCTACCTGGAAACCGCCACTTTCAACTGCTCATCGCAGCGCTCCGAGGTGGGGAGCATTTTGGAGAGGACATGGCACTACAGGTCACGATGCCAAAGCTTTCAGTATCGCAGGACGAAAACACACTGAGATTCAAACGCACGTGAAGCTCGATCCACCCCTCTAAGCATTTTCAATTTGCAAGTAATTTATTAGCTTTCCATTTAATTACCAGACACAGCTCAAAATACATGCACAATGGGTAACAAACAGGGAGAAGAGAGGGAACTTAGTAAAACTGGATTTGACGGATATCTGTAGAAAGCTGCAGGATTGCCACTGTTGCTGTGCTTTTAAAAAAGCACTGTGGAAAGCTGAGGTTCAGAAATTCAGAGCTTGTGCAAGCAACAGCAAAACTGCTGTCTTACAGCCCAATAAGTGGGCTCAGGATATCACCTCTATCATAAACAGGCTGGTAAAAAACTGGGAATCCAGGCCTCACTCAAGAGCTGTTGATCAGCAACAGGCTCTGCTTGGTAGAGGGTGACATGCCTGCACGGTACAGACACGGTAAATCCCCAAACTGCTTTTAGTTGAAGCGTACGGGCCTGGAACATCACGTGTTGAGCCCTGAGGGCCAGATGCTCACAGCTGGTTCTCACCCATGGGCTCGTAGCTAATGAATTTGAAGGGCTGTGTTCAGTGCAGCCAGTCACTGCAAGCCCTCCCAACCCAACGGCTCATTTCCCCGGCCGCAGTGCCCAGCCCAAGTTCTGCCCCAACGGCGGTCTGTACTTCCACAGGTCTGAGGGAGGAGAAAAGGAACATCGACAGAAATACCTCTAATGCTCACTTGTTTACATGCATGTCCTAAGTGCCCTCAACATCCTTAAGAAACACAAGCTTTAACTACATGACTAGCAACACACATTTTCTTTTCACCTGCAGTCAAATTTACAGTTGCGTTTGTTGGCTTGTAAATCCACAGATTTCAGCTCGGTGTGGACAGACCCCACAGGAGCAGGAACTCTAAATTTCACACATTCTCTCTCCTTTCCAGGGAAACATTAAATTTCCAGTTCTTACGGGTCTGACCCAAAGCCAACTCACACCAGCCAAAGTACTACTGCCGACTTCAGAGAGATCTGAATCAGGCCCTATTATTTTAGTTTATAGCTCACAGTTAAAAAAAAAGAAGCTGCTGAAATGCTAATCCTATTCACAGCACCACTTGCTTAGAGCAGAGCAGCATATCCCGGAGCAGATCAGGATTAGGAGCCTTTATATTTCAGAATTCAACTCCAAAATACCGAGCGCAAAGAAACGTATTACAAAGTATTGCTTATCTACCACAGAGCAATTCTCAGGGGTCGGGAAGAGGAACAGTTGTAAATGTTAATAGACCTTCTCCCATTGTAGACAGATGCTATTTCTGGGCTAGTATGACAGCCTACGAGAAAACGATCAGCATCGTTCCATATTCTACTCAAGTGACACTGCTGCATGGCTGATCACAGGATTATCCGGGGTAGCCAATAGAAGAGAGGATATTTATAGAAATAAAAGTACTCTCTAAGGTATAAAGTAAGCTGATTTAAAGGCTGGAAAACAAGCAAGCCAACATAGAGAAGTGGACTTTACTTCAGTAGCTGCCGGCATAGGTTACACGGTCTGTATGCACAACTTAAATGAAGAGCCAAACAATAGTTCTGGTTACTACGATTGTTACTGTTTTGCAAATATTATTTAAAGCTCACATACAGCATTCTCCCTCTAGTTAGTGGAGATTTAACATGAAGGAAAGCCATGTACAGCTGGGTTTTTAACTTTTTTTTTTTTTAATTGGTCTTCCAAACACACTGGCTAGGAAGACAGAAAGCATTTCCTGACAGCTTAGTAGACTGGAAAAAATAACTCAGCCGAGTTCCCTGCTGCATGTCACCACTATGTGGGACAAGCAACACTTACTACACGCAGGCTGATGGACAAGCACTCCTCTGCTCGCAAACACAACGCTGAGACTAACTTGAGCCGATGAAAGTCAGAAAGCAACGCCTTGTTATTGATGGGAGATGTCAGGTAGAGAGCCATGAAATGGGAAAATCTGGTGCAAAGACAATGCTCAGAAGCAACAGGAGAGGAACAGGCCTTTGAAGTGGGGCAGCAAACAAAGGTCGCAATGCTGAGACTTAACCTGCAGTGAGCAGGGAGGATGCCCAGGATGCCTGCACGGCAGCCAGGCCAGCAGTACTCACTCACTGGGGTGTCCAGGGCGAGGAGCAGGACAAGTCTCAAGCAGGATGGTGGAGACATTAGCTGGCTGAGGACATGCAGAGACGACTCACAGGAGTGTAAGGGCGGCGTGTCATTTGCACAAAACTGAGCAGACTGCAGCATCTGTAACAGTGAAGCGAACTGCAGACGCCGTTCAGATAATGAACGGCGCAGCGTGGCAACGCGTGCAGCCTTTGAGAGGGGCAGCCACACAGAGCAGCTCAAGGCTGGGCACAGTCAGCCAGCGACTGCTTCGTGGTCACCTCTGGGTTAAGCAAACTATGTTTTCTATCAGATTGGCTTGTTTAAAAACATCTTTGTCCTTGGTGGAGAGGTCTTCTTTACAAGCACCATGAGGAGACTGATGGGGTCAGCAATGAGGAGACTGCATTTTCCAGACAGTGAGTGGGGACATACAAAAAGGAAAAAAGACTCCTGACAATTACCATGAAATCAGAGTGGGGCATTAAATTCAGAGATGCAGCTAAATGGGCAAGAGCACTCATAAACACATCGAGCATGAAAGCAAAGCTAACCATCTTATTAGTATCCTTCAGAAAACAGGGATGTGTGGTTTTATGAAAGTATATCATTGCTAGGTTTAAAATACCCACTGAATTATCAAAGGACTTTCAGTTACAGCGGCACGCAGTAATCCTCTTAAAAAAAAATACAGACATATATAAAAATACAGTGACATTTATAGTCCTAGCTAAGGATTTTGTGGGTTTATTCAGCTTTAAATCCACGCTGTATATGGGTGTTTTGAACTAGTTGATGCATGTAACTACATCCTGTACCACAGAAGCCACTGAAAGGAAGATTCACTTTATAGGCCAGAGCAAAAATTGGTTTGGGACAAACAGAGCATTGAGATAATCTGTTTAAATATTCTATCAGATTGGCAATATAAAGCCATAATGGAAAGAACAATTTCCCCTTGTACTGAGGGCTGGATACGCAGGGCATGAATAAAGCACGACCCACAAGCCGCTGCAGAGCACAGTTGATTCCTATTAGGAAAGAGAAGTAAATGTATTCTGTTTAACTTTATTAGCCACAAAGCTCAGATAATAAATTTAAAACAAAACCACCCTCAGTCACCAGCAGTTCCTTATCTACTAGATGTGGATAGTTAGCTAGAATCAAAACAATTCACTGAGACACAATAAAGCCACAAAGCTCAGCACCTCAGCCTACCACCGCAACCGCATCTCCCCCATCTCTACACCCCTGCAGAGCCGTCCTCTTCCCTGCTGCTGCAACCACAAGTCACTTGTCTTCACCCTCAAGGCCCTTCCCAACCAAGCGTGTTTGCGGTGGAGGTGACGGCTCCTGTCTCCCCACGGCTCGTGATGTCAGCCCCAGCACTGCCGAGCTCTATTCTCAAACCTTTGTGCCTTTCCTACAACCATGGGAGAAACTTCGCAAAATATCCATAAAACCACCCAATGATTCTCCTGCTAACTTCTTCTCTGCCACACCTACAAT